CTTGGATCAATTTCATTGACAGATGTACTCATTACAGAGCTGAACTTGCACACATTGGACCAGTCAAGCTGACAGATTGACAAATTGCTATGCTGAATCTTTCACAGATTGCAGCGTATGAGAGAGAAATCAGTAAACTGAGGGAGGAGCTGTTGAAAGAGATTGGCCACTTGGAGGAGAGGAAGGAGGAAGCTGTGAAAGCTGCTGCCAACTGCTCAGCCGAGCACTTTCAGAACCTGCAGGACCAATTCTTCAGTGAGTTACACCAAATAATTCAACCCCCCAAGAATGAGATCTTGGTGATAGCTTAGCTTAGCATAAAGACTGGAAACAGGGATACAACTAGTGTGGCTCTGTCCAAAGGTAAGATAATCCAACTACTAACTTGTCTAAATCACACAAATTAACATGTTCTATTTCGTCTGTTGAAAGGACCAGTGTGTAGGATTTAGTGGTGTCCAGTTGTGAAGTTGCAGATTGCAACTAACTGAACACTGCTGGTGTCTGTATTTGACAGCTTGGGAATGAGAACGGACAGTGTAGTATGTGGGGAAAATTACCGTGGCTGCAAAAGGCCCTATCTACAGCCAGTGATTGGTTTGTCCGTTGTGGGCTACTGTAGAAACATGGCAGTTCAACACAACGGACTCCATAGAAGGCGACCTGTGCCGTCTGTAGATATAAACAGGTCATTCTATGGTAAAAAAAAAAAAACAATTCAGATATTTAGGTGATTATACACCAATGAAAAGATAACTATAAATATAATACTCTATTTCTGTCAATTGATCATCTTAAATTGTTCCACACTGGAACTGAAGTGTAAAAACAGCACATTCTACTTTTCATGGACGAGTGCAGTGACTTCCTGGACTTCCCTGTTATCATTATGAGGTTGACAGGCAACAGGAGACTCCAGGAAGTCAGTGACAGTGCCTGTCTAAAAAATAGTTTTGCACACAATCCTGTGTTATATTTATGGGAGTGACATCAATCTTCTCATCTAACTCATCAAGAAAGCAAATATACATATTTACCTTTTTTTTTTGTCAGGCTTGCAGAAGCGCCTGACAGCACTCCCTCCAACTTTACGCTCCATGAAGACAGACTACACCAGTCTAAGGAGCCAGGTTCGAAATTTCTCAGACTTTTATGGATCGGCTATCAATGATGCAAAAAAACAGGTATGTATGTGTGTGTCATGACTCCTGTATGACTCTTGTCCCCTGTATGTAGGGGAAGGACAGATCCCAGTAAAGGAGTGTTTTGTTTTTTTGTCTTTGGCAGATTACAGCAGCTATCAGTGAGATGTCTGAAGCCAACAAAGATCTTCTGGAGAAATATAGGAAGGAGGTTGCGCTGCGCAGGAAGTACCACGAGCAGCTGGTGGAGCTTAAAGGTATGCAGAGAAATAAAAAAAATAAAAAGTCACTGCGGAAAATAAAATCTGTGTCATTAACCGGGCGCCCTGTTTTTAGGCAACATCCGCGTGCTGTGCCGCGTGAAGCCCGTGCTGAAGGAGGACCAGCATGAGGAGGGCCAGTCTGTGGTGGTGACCACAGACGCCAACAACGAATCCTCACTCAATGTGCTGAACAAAGGAAAGGGTCGCCTCTTTGAACTGGACAAGGTCTTCCAACCACAGGCCACACAAGAAGAGGTATTACATTGAACAGCATGTGCGGGTAATGTAATTATAACAAGAACGCTAACCATTTGTCTGGTTTCATCAGGTCTTTCAGGAGATTGAACCCCTTGTGACATCCTGCATTGATGGCTACCAAGTCTGCATATTTGCCTATGGACAGACTGGCTCTGGAAAAACCTACACCATGGAGGTATACTCACTAGTTTAATGGCATTAATGTAGCCATAGGCTGTTAATCCATAACGTAGGCTGCAGGCTAAGTATCCTTTGATTTTCAGGGCAGTGTGGAGAACCCAGGCATCAACCAGCGAGCCCTCAAGCATCTTTTCAGTGAGATTGAGGAGAGGAAGGACATGTGGTCTTACAATGTCACTGTGAGCTCTGTGGAGATCTACAACGAGGTGCTAAGGTACAGAACGCTGCACTTTTTTTCAGATAGACCTAATTTACAGATACTAGATGTTGGCTGTGTTACTGTTGGTGTTGTATTTTATTTCTCAGAGACCTGCTGAGTAAGGATGGAGAGAAACTGGACATAAAGATCAACCCGGACGGAACAGGACAGCTGCACGTGCCGGGCCTCAGGGTCATCGAAGTTAAGAGCTTTCAGCACATCAAGAAGGTGACACAGTGTATTTTAATTAGACAATCCATAATCCTCTTTAAAAATAAATAATTTTCATTCATGCTAACTAATCTTGTTTTTGTCAAGATTTTAGCCACAGCCCGAAGGAACAGGATCACCTTCGGCACTCAGATGAACCAGCACAGCTCCCGCTCCCACGCTCTTCTCTGTATCACCGTTCAGGGCACTGACCTCGCCACCGGCTCCAAAACCACCGGTCAGTCTCACACACATTTCTCCTACTACAGGGGAAAGGCTGCTTATTAATAACTACAATTAATTTGAACCAGATTTGGGATTCCTCATCACTGGATCTCTGTTTTATTAAAGCTGAGTGCTGTCTAGTCATAATGTGGAATCAAAAACAATATTTCCCAAGGGATATCATTGTTAATATATCTGCAGTCTTTAAGCAGGAGATGGAGAAAGAGAGCAGAGAGGAAAAAGTACAAAAGGGAAGTTTCTGCTCGGGATTCACTCAGAGATCCAGAGATGACTGTCTTCATTGCTTCACCATTACCTGAATTATCTTTCCTGTCCTCAGGCAAGTTGAACCTGGTGGACCTGGCTGGCTCAGAGAGGGTATGGAAGTCTGGTGCTGAGGGAGAGAGGCTGAAAGAAGCCCAGAATATCAACCGCTCTCTGCTGGCACTGGGGGACGTAATTCAGGCACTGAGAGCTCGGCAGACTCATATACCTTTCAGGAACTCTCGCCTTACATACTTATTACAAGACTCCCTGGGCAAAGGAAGCAAGACTGTCATGGTGGTGCAGGTGAGATTGTTACTCCTTATTACACACACACACACACATACTATGTACAGTTTTCGATGCTTTTATGAGCCTTGCTTCATTTTTAACTTTTCTACTTAAGGTGTCTGCGCTGGAGAGTAATGTGGGAGAGACATTGTGCTCACTGAAGTTTGCCCAGAGGGTGTGTAAGGTGGAACTGGGTCCTGCAGCCAGGAAGATTGAATCTGGTGGAGGACAGTGTGACTGAATCAGCCACTTTCCTGTCCTCAGTGATCACCAGGAAGCCATGAATCCACCAGTCAGATTATCTCCCACCCTATCAACCAACCATAATGCTACAGTATCAAGATCAACTGCAATCCTGCTCAAGGGCTAAATCTGTGGGGTCTGTGTGGCACCCGAATGCCAACCTTTCATTGAGGTTAGATATAGAGGATGTTGGCCTCCTCCATTTTCTGCTTTTGACAAGTGATAACCATTTATCATTAGATAATCTGCATGCAGGAGTATTTATTCTTCCCCTCTGAGTGCCGAAAAAACCTCTGACTACCATAGTCTAAGATTTTGATGCTTCCTCGAACTACAATATCTCAGTTTCCTTTTATTAAATATAAAAATCCAGGATTTATCCTAGCAGCTTCTTGAGGCTTTTCTCACATTGTTTAAAACAGCATCATGTTCAAACAGGTTCAATAAGCTTCTAGAGCCACAATATCAACACTTCAGTTTTTGTAGTATTAATCATCTTGCTATAAATGTCCATAGTTTGTGAGCTTCATATCCAATGTTGTATATTTTTGAAGGTTGTAGTGTAGGAGAATCTGTTTTGTAGCAAACGTATGGGCAGTTAACTATTTCGATGACACTTAAGTCACATGTAAGTGTAGTTTTTGTGAGCTTTCTGTTTCTCTTTAGAAAGCTTTGATAATTTGCCTTTTGAGGAAATCGGTTGAAGGGATCGGGTAGCCTTGTACTGAGAGTGGTAACATAATGAACTGTGCAATATCCTCCTCATCGAGGAGGCAGTTTGGGCCTATGTGGACAGAAGATGCACTTTATTGTAGGAGTGTTTCAGTTCAAAACAAGTATTTAGGTGCTTGCAATAGATATCACTTGTGAATGTCATACCAAAAACAGCTGATTGTTATCTGTTCATCATTGTTCCTCTATTTATCACCCATTGAATCAAAACTTTTGATTCAAGTGTAGCAAGACATTAATGTTGCAGTAACTACGATAGAGATCAGAGGTCACGTCATGATGATTAGAGTGAGTTTTCAGATACTTTTCTGAATAAATATGATATGTATTTAAAAAGTGTTTTCCCTTATTGGTTGCTAAACTACAAAATTATTTAAAAATTATGTATGTCACTTAATCACAATCTCCCTGGTTCAAATCCAGCAGATACACATTCTTCACCTTAAGTACAAATACAGATACCTTTGTAAAAACACTGGTAAAAAGTACTGATTCAGCTTCTTTTAACATAAACTTCCCAATGAAAGTGATGTACTCAAAGTATAAAAGTAAAAAGTACTCTTGGTTTCTGTGAGGGACATTTCTATTGGCTGATAGAAACTTCAAATAGGCTCCCTCTCTTGTCTGTTTCGTCTTGTTACATCAGTTAATCGTTTTTGTATTTTTTGTCATGTTACATCTGTCATGCATGATATGCACCGGTCTGGATATTGGGAAGGTGTGCAATGATGCAAAAAATCTTTTAAAAAGAAAAATTCATAACTCCCACTAAATGCATTACAACTAAAGTAACAATCTTGTTCATCCCTCTAAGCCAAGGAGCATGGTGGCCCAACACCTTATGTTTGTTTTTCCTTTCTTTTCTCACCCATCTGTATACTGATATGAGATAAAATTACATATACTTTGATAGACAAGTGTATCCATATATCCATATCATCCACCCTTACTTTCAAATTAAAGCAAAATGTATGAAAATAATAATCAGGAATCTGAAAATTTCTCATTATTTTACTTGAAAATATAAAAAATTACAACTCAATATTGATGGTTACATTAACAATGCATCTCAATAATCCACATAAAGAGAATGTACTACTACATATTCATATGTAATAATGCAATGATACAAGTCAGGACTAACAATGGGAATATGAAGTCCTGACAGAAAACATTACTTTATTCCCTGCAGCAATGAAAGTAGCCGTCTCTTTGAGCACAACACAGATGTGACAGTACAGTCCCAGTAAACCGAGGTCTTCCCTCTGTAGTTTCCTTTTTTTTTTTTTTTTAAATCTGTCACATCTTGGGTTCAGTCTGAGTCTCCCTCCTCCACTCCTACTGCTCCCACCGCTCCAGCCAACTCGTCCTCGCTGCCTCTGAGACGATCCCCTGGAGACACAAACACTTGCGGTCAATCTGATGCATTCATTCACAAAATGTTTACCATCACTAGTGAAAAAAAAATTGTGTAGATTCTGCGTATTGGCAATGACTCTGAGTACGGTCTTATTCAGGTAGAGTGGATAACATGCACCATTAAAATACATGTTGTCCCAGCAACAGACAGTGCACTCTGCTAGCAGGCTATAGAGATACCTCTAATGCAGAGCAAAACAATGTTCTTTAACAATAATAAAGCTCACTGCCACATTTTAATTTATGCTGTAATTTAATGCTGTGAGTTTGCACAGAAGGCCAAACCAACCTGAAAGGAGTGACAGTTTATGTTTACATGCCACTATAAACTGTAACATATTAATTGGGTTATTGTGAGTACACATGTTAACACAATAAATTGCTACCTGCAGCCTGAATGCATGCAAATGGGGGCAATTAGTAATTACTGTGGCACAAAACGAGGGAAAGCCTTTTACAGGTAAAATTGTTTTGCGTTCTCCATGAAAGCTCATGCCTATTTTTAGAATGTGGATCACACATCAGTGGAGGAATCACACCATTGATGTTATCAGATGGCTTCAAGCCTCTGCGGAGTCTGGAAACCACAAAGCAATTAGCCTAATAATTCACGCCTAGCTCAGACACGCTTGTCTCTGTGGTGTCAAGATTCTGTGATAAAATGTGAAATACTAACGGATGAGCTCGGCGATGGCTCTCTGTGTTCTCCTCTCCAACTTCTCCAGTTTCTTTGCCACGTCGCGCTTTAGATCCCTGGATTCAGAATCACAATGTCAAGACAATGTCAGTAAGCAAGTTATCTTGAATTATAGGATTAGAGATTTTATGCACCATACAGGTTGGAGAAAGGTCTTACCAGTCTGGTTTTCTTGGGGCGAGATTGGCCAAATCCTGAGGAAAGAAAAACAGCTCAGTATGGCAACTACAACTTCTATATTTCTCCAACAAAGGAGATCACATTTTGACAGAAAGGAGAACTCACCACTTCTTCAATGATGGGCTCTGGATTAGCTGCCTCTAACTGGTCTTTTACTTTATCCTCCACTGCAAACAATGATTTTTTATAATCAGTCACAAATCATATGTGATAACACCAGGAATCTGTTAGCAATACTCAAGGGGTGCCGTCCAGTAGCTGACCATCTGAAGTCATCAGAGTTCACTTTTTTTTTTTTTTTTAAAAGCTTGTTTATGATAAAGAGTTCTCACCTGATGCAGGTTTGGCTTTGGGCACCTGCCTCTCCTTCAGCTCTTCATCCTCTGGGGTGTAATTCCTCAGTTTTAGTTCTCTGAGGACAGAAATATAATTAAGTAATGTCAGTCTCACTCTTTTTCCACACACTTTTCTTAGTCCAGGAGGTGGCAGTGTGGGCAAGTATATACCGCCAGAGATTTAAGGAGCATAAAAGACCATCTGCAAACCCTACACAGCTGCACATCTAATTTCTAGAGGGGGTCGGGTATAATGTCTCTCTTTATTCCTATGAACATGTCTGATTAACATGTTCCACCTGCTCCTGGGCACAGACTTGAGGAGAGCAGCAAACAGCTGAGGAATGCTTTTCTTGATGTTAAATTACGCAGTCTTTCATCACATCTCCACACAGACGAATTCTTGGCGAGCTTCGCTGACATCTCTGCAGATTATACAGAAAGTCCAGAGGCAGCGGTAAACTATTGTCTGACCAAGCACGGACCAAGAGAGTTATCAGCTGTTGTAAGCTTAACATGGATTTGTGATGAAGCTCGAGGGGGTGCACTCTTGATACATTCATCACACCCCTGCTGCCAACAGACAGACCGATGCCTTGTATGGGTATGGGCAGGAATGCTGGTCATGTTCTGACTTTGGCTGGCTGTGGACCACTCCTCGTTCACACATCTCTCTCTATGCCTCCTGGCTCTCTCCTGAGGAGACTGTCTCAGTGGAGGAATAATTTGCTCTATCCATCTCATCCCTAAACTGAATTCTCATGCCACTAATGCACACGCTCTATTGCATTTATTGGAACACCAACTATAATAAATGAAGGAAATAAACAAAGGAAAACTACATAAATGGTAAATAAAAATGAATATAAAACAAATTAAAATAGTGAGTCAGTGTTACAAAGATCAGAAGCCCTGACAGCAAGTCAGCCCAAGTTTCTTAGTTTAGCCAGAGGGCACCTACCCAAGGCTAACTACAGGCCATCATTTATCAGCCTTTAATAGATCGTATTGTGATTAAATAAAAGTAAAATGGATGATTGAAAAGGTTTTACTATTGGGCCGCATTATGCAATATATTTTGTGGAAGTGGACATTTAGTTGCAAGGGTGGCTCTAGCGCAAAGGCCATCCTTTCCATCCAAGATTCATCCTCTGCAAGCCATGACTATCAAGGGAAAGCTTTATTGCATTCTTGACATTATTTATTTTTTGTACAAAACGTTTATTTTTGTTTAAAAACCAAACTTTACATCACCCTGGCTGGTAAATGTCAAGATCTAGACCAGAACTGAATACAGATACTACAAACAAACCACTAGCAGGACACAATAAAACTGGATAAACAGACTGTACATGTAAATGTTCTTCAAAGTTGGACATCACTCCTTTTTTCTTAACTTCCTCATAGTTTGATGCATCGAAACCTTCAGAGTGTGTTTACACATTTCCCTTCAAGCACACTGTGGCATCAAAGGGAGCCAGTGATAAATTCAGAGCACTGACCCAAGTGTGGCCCTGTCCAAATGTTTAGTGTGAACTGTGGCAGAGGAGGAGGTGCAGCAGAGTGTTCAAATGTTTACACACTCATATCAAGCTACTTGCTCCATTCACCAGAGAAAAAATAACTCCAGACGACAACAAATGATATTTGCACATATCCACAGAGATTGTTAAAGCTAACACGTAATCAGTCAATATTTTACAGGCTTTTGAACTTCTTAGAATCACATTTGCTTTTTCCACTCATTATAAATCTACTTACCTGTCTATCTAAAAACAGCAGCCTAACACCTAACAAGACGTAACAGGAAAAGCTGCATGGGGCAGTTGGTGCCTTTTGTGGAATAGGCTTGGAGGAATGTATGTATGGGAGCTGGTAAACACAAGTTCTACTGTTTGGATCATTCATTTGAACAGCAGAAAATTCAGGACAAACATTTTGTTTGTTGTGTTCTTTCATGTCCTGGTTTGGGAATTTGATCTCCCATGAAATTTTAATACCAATGACAAGATACATTACACTCACATTCTGCTACAGATGTGTGCTCTGACTTAGTAAAACACAGATTAAAAAACCCCCAGAGTACATTCAACACTGATATTTCTCTTCACTGACAAATGTCTAAATTAGGCCTCTAAGCTCTGCAGCTATTTTCCTTCTCATGAGAGAGAGAGAGATCTGTCCTGTTGGACTGGAGGAAACACAGCGGCACTCCCTCAGTGCAGTCATTAAATATAAACAATGGAAAAAAGGTCCTGTAGGACAGGAAAGATGGCTGCTCCTTCCTACCGACTAACACACAAAGTTGAGTAGCCTGCAGGATATTTGAGCGGTTAATAGTGTAGTCTAGTGTAAACGCGGCACCTCACAACCTGCACTGAGACATGCACAGTGTTAGAAGATGGTGTTCAGATGAAGGGCAGATAAATGCTCTGCTAGTGCAATGATATACTTCCATGTCAGTTTCAGTTCCGTCTGTGCAGCTTAAAAAGCCCCAGCTACAGCGGTGAGAAACAGTGAGCAGTGGTTGAAGGAATAATTACATGCTTTTATGAAAAATATGATTAAATCATTAATTAAAAACAAACAGCGGCTACTTTTGTGTGCGTGGTGTGATTAACCAACCTGTGTCTTTCTTCAGTAGTCTCCTCTAGTGAAGCTTTTTTTTTCTCTGGCTCCCCATCTTCTTCTCGCCCCTATTAAAATATCATCACACCATCATTAAAATAAACTAAATATACCATACAGTATACACAAAGTACAAACATCACTCTTCCGTCAATGCACTGATCAGAAATAGAGATTCACACTGTATTCTTTCATAAAGAATCACTGAATTATTAAAATATTGAACGGCAAAAAGATAATTATTCAAAAAAAAAAAAAGGAACCTATGCATCAACCCATTTCAGGGATCTGGCACAGTAAAGGTATATGCACTAAACTAACATCTGCATAGGAAAACAAACTAATCAAACATCTATGTTTGTGTTGGCCCATGATTTGGGACTCAAATAACAAATGCACATTTTCAGCTTGATTGTTAATGAAGGCGTCGTGTTATTTAGGATGTAGATAGGGCTAAGCAATATAGCTGAAAAATGTAATAATAATAATATAATGAACAGGAGGAAAAAGGTTGAAGTGAACCACTTTATTTAATCGAGGCACACAGGTAATAATTTTAATGTTACAGTTTTGTCATACGATATTGTGGATAAGAAAGGCTGTTTATGAGCCAGAGCGTATTCGTAATGTGCTTTCATGGCGGTTTGCATT